ATAAAGTCTATCGAGGATATTTTTATCGTCCATCGGTCGAATGAGAAATTTAAATATGGATAATCAGAGATGTCAAGTACTGGAAACCACGGCCATGGCGAGATTTAAAAGTCAGTTGAATTCTAAAAGGTCATATTTAATGCATACACCTATGACAAGAGACTTGATATTGCTTTTCAGCGATTTTATTATTCATGAATCGAGCAATTAATCCTGTCAAGGGATTTCATCGAGGGAGACTACTGTGCATAATAGGTACGTCGATTGTGCATATATAGATAATTGATTTGTCTGGTTATACAATTAAGACATTTATGTCAAATAATAATATCATATTCAGGTCTGGCTTCCATTGAAATATTATTTTTAGATGAATTTTAGTAGGTAAATGTTATTAAACTTATTAAATTTAAAAGCTTCTTGACAGTATTTATAATTCGATATATCATAGGTACCCTCAGATAAACAATGGCGTATCAAGTAGTTTTTTCATCAGAATACAAAAGAGTGTTTATTTAATATTTCGCAAAAACGAATTTAAATTAAAAAAAAAATAAATTATGCTATTTATCTATACAAATTTAATAAAAGATATTTAAAAAAAATGAGTTTCAAATCATTACAATGTTAGTTAATGTTGTTGGTATGATTTCAGCGCTCTAAAACTTTTAGTTTTTCCGAATTTCTTGACCTATGGCCGCGCACCTTCAATCGCGTCTTAGTCATGCAGTATTTCCATTAAAAATACACCCTTTGGGGATCTAGTCTAAATTTCTGACTGATTGTCATGAAATATTTCTTTCTAACCGGTTTTCAAGAGAAATGGTAACATTTAACTATATAGAGTTAAATTTAATAAAATTTACAAACATCGGCCGATTTTGAGCGCTCGCCATTCCCTTAAGTTTCAAGCATCTACACAAAAAAAAACTATTATAGAGTGTATTTATTCACGTATAATGCGATTTTCGAAAAATTTTGATACGATCATCCGTTTGGCCCATAGCGCTCGCGTAATGAAAGCAGTGCTAAATATGGGAGCGTGACCTTCAACGACAAGGCATGCCTCTTTTCAGGACGCTCTAGAGCAGGCCTGCATAACTCAAATTTTCAAAGAGCCAGATTTGAAAACCGTAATTGTACGAGGGCCGCCAAGAGAGGCCTGAGCGTACAATAGTCGGTTCCGATTTAAAAAAGGTCGACTCCTTTTATTTATAAACCAACAAAAAAAAATTGTCAGCCTAAATGCAAGTTTGTTACTGAAAAATTTATAATTTGACGTAGGTGGGCCAAACTAGTCAACGACCGGCGGGCCGCCAAAACGACACTGACGAGCCGCATCCGGCCCGCAGACCGTATATTGTGCACCCCTGCTCTAGAGGGTAAACTATAAATACTAGGGCAGTACTGTCGCGGCGTTTTTTTACAAATATTCTGTAGATGACGACTGGATACGAATTGTTTCACATCAGACTAGCCGTTTGCGCAGCGTTCTCAAAAAATCGGTTAAAAAAAACCTAAAAAATACAAGCTAGATAGCCCGAGAGCAAATAAAAGCGGATCAGGACAAATAATTTTTAGCTTGATTCTAATTTTTCACAGGTAAATCTATTTCTTGGCCTATTGATATAGGCAACAATTTTTCGTTCTAATGCATTTTCAGTTGCATACCTACTAGTGGAATTAATTCAAAAAGTAAATTAAACAATATTTTTATTTAAATAATTATGGAATGTTATCAAACATCGATACAAACAAATGTTTTTCTTTTTCTGTGTGATTGTAAATAAATTTTGTTGGAGCCCGTTTGATATGGGTTAAAATAAATAATGGTACTTATAATCTACAGGCAGTACCTATTCAATGCATGCAGTGGAAAAAGTAGGTATGTGGTACATTATCGTTTATTTGTTCTCGCACATATTATTGTCAGATAATAAAGAGTTAAGTATGTAAACATAGTTCTCGTGTGTTTGAATTCTGTATTAAATTTCGTTAAGCGATTAAATTGAACATTATTACAATTAAGTTCGTTATACCTACCTAAGTTCAAAACTATTGTTAGAGTGAAAAGGTTAGTGACATTATTTGATTTTTGTTTATTTATTATAGTGTGCAATATGTATTTTTATTTGTACAAATGATTTTATTTTGTGCTGGCATAAAACTCTCTAAAATTCTATTTACTTTTTACTGTTTATTTTAAAGTAAGTTGGTACAATAATCATTTATCATATGTTATAAACTAGTCTGTTATAAATGTAGGGGCGACGTGGGCATACCTATTGAACTTTTTACATTTAAAGAAGAAAGCTTAAAACTTGACAAAAACCTTTTTGTTAGTTCTATGGTTTAGAATGTTTCACAAAATCTACAAAGAAAGGAAAAATATTTATTTTCCAACGACACTTCATTTGTTATAAGGTCTGCCTCGTACGGCACTTTTGTACCTACATAGCGTGGGCTTAATATGGACAAATAATCAAGAATATTTTTTTATCGTCAGCTTTCAAATTAATTAAATAAATTTAGGTACTTGATTCTTACGTGTTAAAAGTTATTCAATATTCAAAGTAATATTTAGGTACTCATAACACTTTTTTCCTTTTGAAATATTTACAAACATTATAGGTAAAATAAATCTTTACATCAAATTAAAGTTTGTTCCTGGATCTCTGGACCTCTGAAGGAAATTATACCTCTATCCAAATAAAGACAATATGAAGATGACAATATATATGCAACACCCTGTAGGTAACAACAAATCTTAAAATTACCAGAAAGAGATTAGACAGGTTTTAATTGTCTAAATAAAACAGCACTTGATGAGAATAAACTTGTGAACTTATTTTGTGATAACAATTGAGGTAATACCCTCATTACTGTTATCAATGCATAATTATTGAACCTGTATATGTATAATAATACCTTCAAGTATTTTTGTTTGTCATATTAGTAGCTTGTGCGTACTTAAAAGAAACGGATTATTGGTTCACGCTTGTGGCCTGTTCAATTAATTTTATGTTTTAGATTAAATATATTTAACAAAATGGTGTCTATCGAAATTTACGGTAAGTAAAAATATAAAATTCATATTTTTGGAAGGTCGAATAATAATAATCATAATAATTATGTTGGATGGAATTTCGTTCAGCTGAAATCCGTTTAAAAAAAAATAGAAATATATGTACGAGTGTATAGAAACGATAGACAGGACTGTTTTTGTAGGAATACTTAATAAAGTAATTAACAAGTTTACCGGGTGGAATTAGTTCAGAGGAAATCCGTTTTTTCAAATTAGGTTTTCTGGTAGCCTTATATATGTCCCCCTGATTCCAAAAATGAAACCAAAACCTTGCAGAACTTTACAGTTTTTTTGAGAAAAGTCGGAAAAACTGTAAACCACTTATGGTTTCGCTAACAGAAAATATGTTATTGTAGTGATAATCTACAGGTAATTAGAAACAATCCGAAACCATCTTGGAAAGTTCTTATGAGCTACATTTTTTATTTATTTTAAAGAACTTTTAATGCGCCTATATATTTGCAGATTAAAAGTGTTATAAAAGCAATTAGCGCAAAAATTATAGTGCGGAAATGCTATTTGTAAAATTTTAAATTTCTACAAAATGTTTTTTGGTGTAAATTTTTCTATGTGGAAAAAGTAACTACGAGTATATATAGATACATTGGAGGTAGTAGCATCAAAATTTCTTTGCGAAAAAACATTTCCATAGAAAATATTAATGTCACGTTTTTTAATGGGCTATATCCCATCCAGTGAGTATTACGGATCAGTGGTAGTGGTTGTTTCCCATTTAAGACTATTTCAAAGTAATAAAAGGTATTAAAAATTACTATTATTTAACAGTAACGAAAAACAGTAATCAAAACGGTAATTGTAAATTATAAGTGGAAAGTTTCTTTTAGAAATGAATTTAAGTATAAAAACAAATAAATATTTAAACAGTAAAAAATATTCTAAAAGTAAATACATACTAAAATTCATTTCTAAAATCAATTTTAATTATAGCTTTCCACTTATAATTTACAGAGTGAGCCAAAACTTACTAAAATTACAAAAAGACGTTAGGTAAATTTTTAGACAGGCTCAAGAGGTAAAGGGACCAAATATTTTTATTGCCATTAAAAATGCAATGTGTTGTTATGTTTATGAATTCATTTAAATCTCAATTTATCGATTTAGTACAAAATAATATCTTAATTTGTGCTTCATATAATTTTTCAAATTGTCACAGAAAGTTTAATTGTCAGTGGCAAATACAGTACAATATACATTTTAATCATAAATACAAACAATATTTTGAATTATTTTTGGCTTCTTCCAGGGGCGTATGGGACCCCTTGGACCGGCGCGGGAAGTCAGAACGACGCCGCGCCGGTCCATTAAAAATTATTTTTTTATATTTTTATTAATAATTTATTTTACAATAACTGATAAATAAAAACAAACTCCATTTTTTTACATAAAAAACTCTTAATTTTGTTAACACAAATATCAAATAAAAAAAGTAACTCTTAATCTAATGGCATTTTCCATAGGCACTGGCAGTACGCACTGAGTATAATTGTGTCCTTGTTTATCGATATCGATATGTGTACACCAAGGTCGTACTGAACATTCCAATGGATAATGCTAAAAAAGTTTTGCACTCAAAATAACAGTTTCTTTAATAATAAAATATTTGTTCTTCCATGAACGGTCAGTGACGTCGTTTTTTTCTATTGTATTTAATATGTAGCTTTGTATTTGTCGTTGGTTTTGACTGAGAGTACTCCTTAGCCTGTTTTTCAAGTACCTACTTCAGTTTGGAAAAAATTCTCTCGCGGGCTACTTCTGATATTGGAATTGTCAACAAATGCTTATATGCTAATGACAACTTTGAGTAAGCCTCTTTTCACATATTATATTTAACAATGATGGAATAGAAGCACAGTGAGCAATTTCTGCAACTCTTGCATTGCATATTGTTTTATTTACCACTGTCGTTGATTCCTAAAATTGACATTTGTGTACTCGGAAAATCACAACTCTTGCTGAGCAACAATTCTAGTATATACATACTTCTGGAAGCACGTTCCATGTGCGTTGAATTATACTTGCAATGCAGATTTCCTTTCATTTCAATTTAAGCGGTAACATCAAAAAACTGTTATCAGTGAAAATTTGTATCTCCCGGTTTTCCGATGGGCCCATCCGCCCCTGGTTTCTTCATTATGGAAAAAGCCAATTGATGATCGTTCTATTTTTGTATTCACCGTCTATCATCTTGTTTCGAATTTTATCATTGTGCACAGTTAATCTTTTAATATTGCACTCTTTCCTTATAATTTTCCATTCAATATTTATTTACACTTTATTTCAATTCCACACATTAATTAATACATACATGTCTTATTTACAACGCATGCGAATTTGTTTACTATTTCTCAGTCGTAATACGCGCGTTGATAAATCACTACTTACACCATCCATTATCTGCTACAATGTAAGTATTAAATAAAATTTGTTCAGCATAATAAACATTAATTTCAAGGACACTTTTTTATAATAATCATGTTATAATTCATAATTACTTTGGCAATTATGCAGATGCATTTGAGTTGCAATTGGTTATTTAAAACTTTGTATCTTATTTTAAATTATTGATAACGTTATTAATTGTTACTAATAATTGTTACTTATTGAACTTTGAACTTATACATTTCATTTAATCATCTTACTTTACAATTTTTTCTTATTTAATAATACATTTCCAGATTATTTTACTTTTTAAAAAGTTTTTTTGGAAAATATTTTAATCAAATAAAAGTTAGTTTTTATCTTTGTAATTATTTTTTATATAAATAACTAATCTATTAATTTTAATAGGTGATTAAGGGTATAGTTAATGATATAATATATTTATTTACTTAAAAATAATACTAAAAATTTTACAATACTACATAAAAAACTTACATTAAGATACAGAAATATCTATATATTCAATGTAAATAAATCATTGACCCCATTAAAACTGTTAAGTCGCATATGGGATTAATATTAAAATACAAATGAAGTAAATATAATATGCCCAATATGATAGATAATAAAAGGTATATAAAGGGAGGCCAAACGAAAAAAAAAAAACAGCCATATATCAGGAACTGCTTCAACATTTTACACAAACGCTCGTATTCTTAAATTTTTGATTTCATATCATCCTCAACTGTCATACGTTAAACTTCAACTGGAAGTTTATTACATCCATTCCTTAGCATATCTTCGATATCGGTAACAATAACTGCATGAGTGAACTTTTCTATACCAATTCCTAATTGAAATTGGATTTCCCCATGGATGTTGGCACTTTCGGTGGCAGTCCGCAGTCGCAACCTTGTTGGTAGAGGCCACTTGCTTTTATTTATAATTGTTGGTCGTATAATGGTCCTGGTTGCTCCAGTATCCACCAACAGTATATACATTCTACTACCATTTACTTTGCCGTCTACGTATGCACTATCATCGCGACATTTCAAAGACTAGTAAGGTAAACTGGCGTGTTAAAAGTGCTATCGCGTCTATTGCACCGGTCGCGCTGTCCCAAATGCACTTCATTTAATTACTGGTAATTCAGACATTTCGGTCGCCTTACCCGGTCGCTTGCCTCGGTTTCGCGTTTCCAAGTGGTACGTTTAGTATGAGAAAGGTCTTTGAAACAATTTCGGGTCGAAGCTGCTGCCCCCGCCTCCTAGGCCGACCCGCTTTAGTTTTCCTGAGTGTTTTCTTGATTTGTTGTGATCCTAGGACATTTGCACAAACTGCGTACATATCGCATTTCACCGCAATTCCAGCACCTGTTAGTCTTCGTCTTCATCTTCTTATTAACCGGTTGGTCGAGTTTACAATCCTCTTTTACAGTCATCACTTTACTGTATTCACCAGAAGCCTGCGTAGCTGCCTCATATTCAAGAGCAGCGGACAAGACATCGACCAATGTTTTGTGACGGGCTAAACGGAGTGTTTTTTTTACATTTCTTGATCATGGAGTCCATCAAAAATGTTTGGACAGCCAAACATTCCATTATATGTCCAGGAGCTGATGGGTAGGCAAATCATATCAACCTGGCAATTTCTACTTCGTACTCTTGAAGGGTCTCGTTTCGTTTCTGTTGCGATTCTTTATCTGTGATTAGTATAAATGTGTTCGTGGCAATATCGCATGTTTAATCTCTTTTTAAGTAGTTCAAAGTCAACCGTCTCTTCCACAGGTACAGGAAAACACACCTAAAGCATTTCCTCGAAGGGCGATAGTCCAGATTTACTGCTTTTTCTCTTTCAGACCATTCGTTCGCTCTCGCTGATTTACTTTACTTTGACAATAATAGCTCAATTTAAACTGTCCATAATAACACACGTGACCTATATACACATATGGTGTTTCTTCTCGAATTATAACAGTAAATGGTACTGTTTGAGTACCGCAGAAACTTCACAACGTTATCTCTTTTAAATATTAATGCAAAACTGGCAAAGTTAGGAGAGCCCGACTATATGAAGGCTAATATACATTTACCACTCTTACTATCGCGTTGACAACAAATAATTCGACCACTAAATAATTACAGTAATTATAAATAACTATAATTAATAAGAAAGAAATAAAATAGGTAAGCTCTTATTTTTTTAATACGCATAAACCATTTCGGTTATAAATGACGTAAATTATAGTTAGCTATACACTGAAATTATTTCAAAAATTTGTTGATTTAATTATCAATTTTGATATATTTACGAGATCCTAAAGAATTGCCATACATGATTCAAATCGTGATTACAAAAATGTTCGGATTTAGGATAATTTTGATGAATAAACTAAATAAACACAGTAACTGTTCAAAATGTGTTCCATCTACTTGCTGATAGTAAAATATCATATTGTTAAACTCCTCGTATTCTTTCAAATGTGTCAAATGTACCCTACATTCTTCAACAATTGGTTGTTTTAAAATGTCAATACTGTCAGGAATTGTAGCGTAAACTTTAGATTTAAGGTACTCCCACAGAAAAAAATCTAAAATTGTGGGGTCAAGTGATCGAACTGGCCATTCTATAGGATTTCGCTATCCAATCTATCAACCACGATATTCCTTAGTCAGATGACCATAATAGTGCACAGGAGCATCATCTTGTTGAAACGTTATTTCCAAATTACCAAATTCATCTGGATTGTTTTCCAAAATTAACGGTTCAATTGCGTTTTGTAACATTTCGAGATACACTTCATTGATTAAGTTGTTTCCCAAAATACCAGGCCCATACTTATACGAGGGATAACAAATTTATCAAGAGGCTTATCGGAACTTGAATGGAGTATGTACTTCCAGAGATGATAGCAGTAGAAATTTATCAAAAAATCAAACTTCTTTAAAATAAATAAGTTGCATAGTTTTAATATTAGTCATGCAAATATAGGTAGTTCAAATTTATTAAAAATAAGTTCTATTATATGACTACTACTTTCTAAGTCCTTAGAAAATTTTGAAACACTTATAGATAAATAGTATTTAAATTTATTATCTATTTACCGAATCAAAATATCTTTTATTTTAGGTAATTTTGGTACGTCAAAGTGTTTTAAGATATTTAACATTCAAAATGCTCTCCAATGAAAGTTGTGCTGCAATGATGCCTCCAGAAACAGCTGAAATGAAACGACATGTTTTAAATAGAAAACGGAGACTAAGATCTCTAATAGCTTACTGGATCCTTGGACTATGTAATAATTATGGCTATGTAGTCATGTTGACAGCAGCCAATGACATAATAGCCGAACAAATAGGAACAAATTCTACTAATCCAGAGGTAAGTAAATTAAATCATTTTCAAGTTTTGTGGCGTCCTTGAAAATCTTTTGGCAGTAATCTATTCTATTCTTTCGAAAAAGTAAAATTTTCATCAACACATTTTTTCATAGGAGGTCACGACCAAAGATTTCCTTCTAAGGATCAAAAATAATTTCATGGCATCACTTCGATTGTATTAATTGATTATTCGTAGTCTCGATATCAAAAGTTGTATTCAGCAGATTATATCACGAATTAATAAAATATGAATGCTCAATAATGTATAGTTACATTACAAAAGTAATAACATAATATGACAAGTCTGCCTATTATATCTTTATAGCATTAAATGAAATAGATGGTATTATACAGGGCGTTTCTTAATGTCATGTCCATATTGAAGGCGTTAATTCCTTATTTTATGATTTAATTTCATATAAAACTGTGTTCTAATTTGAAGGTGTTTTTAACCCTTAATTTTGTTGAACTATGTCTTACTAATAGTAATAAGCGATGGCACCTTTACTTGACATTATTGCACACATCTGTCAATATTTCGTAGTATTATGAAAATTTGTCAACTTTTGATGCGAAAATGCGTGTTTTGAATAGTGGTGATAGAACAACAATTAATACTTATTATTTTCTTGTAATTTTCTCTAACCTACTCGTTCGTATATGAACATATTTTTGAAAACTTTTTGTATAGTTTAATTTGCGTTTGTTTTTATAATTATTTATACTCTCTTATAAATTCAATTTTTTCAGAAAAGCAAAGCAAGAGACTGTACATATTTATCGACTGGTGCTATTTTATTAGCAGATGTTCTCCCTGCACTTTGTATAAAAATAGTAGCCCCATTTTTACCTTTCTTTGTCCAGTAAGTACATTTGAAGTCACAATTTATTTATATTATAGATTTTTAATACTTTAATTTTAATATAACGTCATTTTTGCAGATATTTAATGTAGAAATCAAAATTTTGTCACTAATTTAAAAACTAGTTTTCCTTTTAAAAGTATAATTATTTCTATATTTAACTGTAAAAAAGAAAATAATTCCAAACAAGAAAATTTCAGACATTATCTCACAAAATAATACGAGCGACCGTTTCCCTCTGGAAAATGAATACTTAAGTCTTGCAAATAATGTTTTTTTCTTTATAATTTAATATTTGTGGTATTAGCATATTCCAGAAGAAAACGGTCGCTTTTATTATTTTGTGACACATGGCTTTGATACACGCATCAAAATAGGATCTCTGAGGAACGCTTGCTATCAAACCGTAGTCTGCACTAGCCTTAAAGTCATCTTTTTATAGTTATGTTTCTTGTCATCTATTTTTTATATATTACATTTTATTTTAATATTTTACTAAGGAAAACCTTTTTTTTAGAGTTACATGTTAATCTGCTAATGTTAATCTGTTAACTCAAGCTTGACTGCTTTAGAAACGAATGCAGTTAGTAGATTTTAATAAAATCAAGATAAAACAAAAGATATAATTTATTACTATTTTTAGCATTAGGGTAGCAATTTGTGTCGTGATTGCAGCTACAGGGTTCATGTGTGTGGCTTACAGTGAAACTCTGGTTATATCCTTACTAGGTGTTGTCTTAACATCATTGTGTTCAGGATTAGGCGAAGTTACTTATATGCAATACAGCAGTTACTATGACAAGTAAGTCCAATACCTACACTTATATTTTATCGTAACTATACTCAATTTAGAAACTTACAATGAGCAATATTTCTTGAAAAACAATGAAAATAATTGTTTTAAGTTGAAATAATTGTGAATCGTTGCATTTAGTAGAAATACAAATGAAATGGTTCTTTCTTTATCATATCCCTCTGCCTTTTTAGGCTTCAGTTTGGAATTTTTTCTCTTTTTCCATTTGTTCCATTTTTTTGCCCCTGGCTGGTTTTTCCATCTCTATCAAAGTTTTCCTATTACGAATTCGGTCGCTTCAATTTGGTCAATTCATTTCCATTATTTTTCTCCCTATTGTTTCATTATTACTAAGTGACCATACCAGTTTAATTGTTTCTTTTTGATCTTTATCATGTTATGTTTAGTTATTTTTCTTATATCTTCATTCGTTAATCTGTCCCGCTATTTTTCTAGAATTTATTGTTGTAATGAAATAGTTCAAAAGGGCAAAACATTTTAGGAAATGATTTTGAAAATTTGTATATATGTGCGTAAAAAAATTGATATTTTGCTTTAATTTAAATTTTATCTATGATTAAAAGACAAGATTGTACTTTTTTCTTCTATTTTTTTTTTTGTAGAAATGTGGTGTCAACCTGGAGCTCGGGTACAGGCGCAGCTGGTGTAATAGGAGCCTTATCCTATACCTTTTTACAACAGTTAGGAATGAAGACAACTTTACAAATTTTATTAATTGTTCCTGCTATGATGGGACTATCGTAAGTTTTTTTTAAGAATTTAGAAAATATATTAAGCTTAAAGAATCAGTAAATGTCTATTCACAAAAATAAATCACTTTTAGTTATCGTAAATGTTGTATACTAAATATATTGGACAAGTAAAATATTTACTTTTGGCAAGTAATAGATATTGTTTAATCAGTAAGGAATGGTAAAGTAGAACCAGAAATATTGTAAGGTCATAAAACACCAACCATTTGAGTTATCAGCAGGCGGTCGCCTCTACAGGCAGACGTATCTCCTCTAGCCATTATGTTCTGTTTTGAAAATGTAAAAATTGACAATTTTTTCTCAAAATTGCTAAAATGGTATTATTTTTCAAAATATCGTAAATGGACAAGGAAAAAGTTGCTTATTTAACTCGAATACCTTAAAATGAATTTGTAAAAAACAAAAGCTGCGATAAGAATTTGAAAGTTGAACTTTTATCATAAGATATTTTAATCCGGATCTGGGAATCTTTTAAGGGAATCCTATTTTCTGGCCTTACGGACAACTTAGCAGACCAGTTTGTAGAGCTCTTTAAGAGACATTTAACGATGCAAACCACTTCCTAGTTTTAACAAAAACATTTTTTTGTTAAAATTCCCCCAAATTTGATCTGAAAATCCTATTTTCCGGCCCTACGGATAACTCAGCGGTGACTTTTTAAAAATAGTACATATTACAAGAATGATGTTTGAAATAGATGTATATTTTTCAGTTTTTGGATCCTACTTCCAAGTCCATCAGAGGAAGATATTGCTCACGCTTTGCAAATTCAAAAGATTGTTAATATGGAAGAATTAAAAAATCCTTTAGAAGTGATAAAAAAGAAATTGTCACTGATTCCAGGTCTTATGAAGTATATCCTTCCATTTTCAATAGTATATGTTTTCGAATATTTTATCAATCAAGGCACTGTAAGTATTATTGTTTTTAAATTTAAAGTTATTAATCTCTTGTTTAAAGTTATCTTACCATTTATCTAAGATTTTTTAAAATTATTATATTTATTATTTATTTATTTATTTTAGTTTGAATTAATAAAGTTTAAAAATTCTGACATTAGTTCGAGTGCTCAGTATCGATGGTTCCAAGTTACTTACCAGGTTGGTGTATTTCTATCAAGATCATCTGTTAACTTATTTCATATTAAACAAACATGGTGGATGACGCTCTTTCAGGTAAAACATTAAATTGATCAGAAAACTTCAAATTCATGTCATTGAAAACATATGAAATAATTGCTAATTTATGACATAATTAGAAGTGCGATACTACATTTTCTTTTAGAAAATCTGCAGGTTGAGAAATGTTTTTAGTTGGTTTTTCTTAACATAAAGCTATGTTTGGAATATAGGAATTTATATGTTATTTTTTTTTCTCATTATAGGAATAATGTAATTTTATTTTTAGGCTATAAACGTCGTAATATTTACAACAGAAGCAATTTATTATTATATTCCTAATTTCTACATTGTTGTGGTGCTGGTTTTGTGGGAAGGACTACTAGGAGGATCATCCTATGTAAATACATTTTACAGGATCTCAACTGAAGTAAGTTTGTAAAGTTTAATTTGTTTATTTCAAAAACAGAAATTAAAAAATTTTGAACGACTGTAAAGTGAACTAAATAAATAAATAAAATATTTAGCCTTTTTCTGTGCTCATAAGGAAAAGTGTCACTTGTTGCACAAATTACTTTCTTTATTTTTTCATACAGTTTAAATCAATTAAATTATTTCAGGTTTCTGAAGAGAACAAGCAGTTTTCAATGGCTATAACAACATTTGGCGATAGTGTTGGTATTACAATAGCTGGTTTTCTTGCTATTTTAGCTCATAACGGTATATGCAACATTCCTGAACCTTAACATAGTATTAATTTTATTTTATGATAATTTTAATAAAAATATTTTTGTCTCGAACTTTGTGTTAGTGTCCAATTAGTGGCCAAGTGTATTTACCCACACAACTGGTGGTTTCCTACAAAAGTAATAAAGGAACAGAATTAAATTTGATTTTTTATATTAATATTATGTCCTTCTAAGCATAAAAGTCGTATCTGCATTTTTGGTTAATTTGGAGTTAATATCTTCTTCGTAGACGTTCAACTGTGGCGCGCCATATTCACAGAACACTTGCCATATTTTTAATGTATTTTTGCAGTAGAAATACACGTTATACATTCAAAACTAATTGTCATTTCGGTTGGGTTCGGCTCCCAAGGCTAGGGTAGTAAGGGTAGAGATATTGAGACCAAACTTGGTACAAAGATGTATTATCCCAAAAATATAAAAATCGCATAAAAAAATTTCGCCCATCCCACCCCTAGCTAATATGGAAGGGGGTGTCACCCTCAAAAAATAAAGTTATAATTTTTTCAATACACTTGACATTTTTTCTACATACAAATCCAAAATTTTAATTTTTTTTTGATAAAATTTTTCCAAAAGTATTTTTGGACTGAACATATTTCGTCTTAAACTGTCCATAGTTAAATCTAATTATTGGCACATTTACAATAGACCTGATTTGTAACGTTTTTACATAAAAATCCTACCACCACCACCACCATCTCCTAAAAAATTAAGTTTTGTCACAAAAAAATATCGTTCATAAATTAAAAATATGCTGACAATTATTATTGTGACAGGTTAGTAACATGTTTAGAATTAATAATTAGCGAGGTAAAGCTGAACTGTGATTGGTGGATCATATCCTTATGTGATAATTATATCCGTACAGTCGTTGTGTAGAATATGCATGTAGATGTTGAAAATGTAGTTTATGGAGTTAGTAGTTCTTTGGTGAAAGTAAAAAAAAGTCAAATTGTGTAAAGTTTATTAAAAAAATTAATCTATTTAAGTATGTTCAGTTAACGTTAAAGTATTAAATATTTTTTCAAAGTTCTGATTTTGTTTTACCTATATCTATTCATATTAACAAATATTAATCACACATTTATAAAATACTAAGCCTAACCTATTTAAATTTGAAGTTTATATTCATAAAAAAAATAATTTGATAAATATATGACAAAACATCGAAACAGGAAATCGAACGACATAATAAACAAAACAACAATTTTTTCATCATTAACCTTACTGGTATAAAGGGCATGGTATATTTTAAATGTAAATTAGTCTTCCTGTATAAATCTAATCCCACTGTCACAAACACGAAAAAGGAATATAGCTACTTTTTGACCCAATTTTTAGGTACATCTTGTAGAACTAGAATTTTAGCGCGATGGTAAATATTTTTCTTTTGACATCAACTGCAACATATCAACAATTCATACACAAAATTTGCCAGGTCCTTTAAGGAATATCATCTAATTGATAAAACTTTCTGTACACTTATCTCAACGTAATTATTTAACAAGTGAAACAAAAACTGTCAAAGACGAATAAAATTTTTAGCGGAATTTGGAAATAATTTGTTTTCTTTCTTGTTTAAAATTTTCACTCAATCTAAATATATGGTTCATCTGTTTGTGTAGCTTTATCTACAAAAGTTTTTGTGGCAGTTCTTGTTAAACTATTCACAATATTTATATGAAATTCTCTAGATCTTGACTTTCTATAAGCCTCCATATATTTATCGATAGGAGTCATCTCTCTGATATTTCTTCTACACTTTATATCTGAACTTTTATATCTTTTCACCATAGGGGATTCCAACAAATCGTTGTCGGATAAATGACGCTTCAAGGGCCTTGAAATGGCAGCACCTACGTCGACAGTGTCAATAGTATTTGAAAAGGTTTGAAGAACGGTTTTTACCATTTTGCTTACAGAAGTCCAAAGTTTGTTAGACACAGAATAGTCATTGTGACTGTTAGTTTCGAGTTTAACATGACTACTTACTTCAGATTTATCTTTTGAATTGTAATTTACTGTATTCCAGTTTTCCAAATTTGATTTTGAAGTAGAGGGTAAATGTTCAATATTAGCAAATATATCTTGATTGGTAGGAGCCGATTTTATTGGTATTGCAGAATTGTTTGGTGTTGAAGATATTTGTATAGGTCCTTCAAATTTTATACTTATCTCTTCCTTTTGAATTGTGGTTGGTGATAACACGTTCATTTTTCTTCCTTTGGGAACCATTGGTGTGACAAACTGATTATTGGGTACGCACATTTCTGGAGAAGTCAATTCGTTTGTACAAATTTGTGTTGTTGATATATTTACAGCACTAATCCATATCGTTTCTTCATTTTTACGAAAGATATTAACACTTTTAAGTTTTTTTTCGTTTTCTTCATCTTCTTCTATGGTAGGAGTCTCAGTTATTTTAAGGCATGGAACTAATTGACGATTTGTTGCTATTGAATGTTCTGCTGTTTCTTCACGTGCTGTATAGTATGTACTGCCCTCTGCGAAAACACAAAAATTATCTAATTAACATTAACCTGTAAGCTTTAAAGAGAACAGACTTTGATACTTTAAAAACTTTTTAGACATACCCTGTATAAAAAAAATGATCAAACTTTAGACACTACTAAAATGGGCAAGGATATTATTTTGAAGAAGTATAATTGGAGTAATTAAATTTTGAAAATGTATGTTCTATCGCGCTTATGTCAATTTAAACAAATATTTGAACACTATATTTTTAATCTGTAAAACGTATGTTCTAATTTCGTTAAAAATGTACTAATATATGTAGTCCCACCCTGTATATTCTGTCGATAAGCCGGTATTGCATAAGAATTCGTGAGTAATAAATTTAAATAGAGTATGTGTATCGTACCTCATTTTTGATCGATTGTTGTTTGACCAAAACTGTTCAATATTTATATTTTCGAATAAATTATTAGTTTTTTGTTATAACAATTATTTGTGCAAGTGTTAATATATTTTATTGTCATATATACCGATTACCGACTACATGTGCATAGTGTATAGTGTCACTTTTGTTTTAAAGGGGCGATATGTACGAACAATTTAATAACACCCTATATAGTTGGGTCCTATCAACTTGTTTCATTTAACATCTAAATTTCTAGACAGAGATCGTCCATATCTCGAAAAATAGAATAGTAAGTGAGATAAATTGCCTAGATGAAAAATTCTGATTAAATAAAATAAAATACACACGACAGTATACATATATCAGATCAAAAATGATTATCCAATATAAATAAAATTATAAAAACAAAAACTGTAATATACTTATTATTATTAGCATTCAAATTATCAATACCTATGAAAAAAACCCTGTGTCTCTTGTGCGAAACGGGAAAAAAGGATATATTTATAATTTATTTAATCTAGTCCATTTTATTATTATGTTTACTATTATCCACCGATATAAAAGTAATTGTCTTGAATCAAAAATATTTGCTAATTTGTATATCTACTTTACATCAAGCTGTAAGTTTTACGTTTACCAAAAAACTTTTAGCTATGTACAGGGTGTTCCGTAATGATGTCGTTTCAATATTCTAACAGGGTTTTCTACCAATTATTTAAAAGGGACTTTTCTTACAAAATTTTACAATTTGGGTTATTTTTTAAACGGGTTCTCTTGTATTAAAACGTCTAAATAATTGATTTTTATTTTTTTTGCTATGTAAACTATCTATTGAATGTAAGTATATACAAAAAAATTACAAGAGTGAAAAGTTTCTAAATTACGTGTAGTACCAACTTATTAATTTTTGTTTTAATTGGCTTTTAAAGAAAAAAGAAATAAAAAGAGAAGTTGCTATAATTTCTACCCTTTAAAAACATGAACTAAAAAAAGAGAGAGAGCATTCAACTAAAAAAACATTTTTTGCGCAATTTTGAGGCCTAATAATTTTGTGAAGGAATGTAATGACAATGGCCCTTCCGAAAATTCGGCCTGAAACCTGCTCTGAAGTCTTGGAGCATTTTGATTTTGAATAACAATATAATAAATTAGTGAATAATTTTAACAAAAATTATTGACTACATATTATTAAAAATAATTTCCTTTATTTATTTATATGAGTAAACGACTACTACGCGACTACTTACCTTTTATAATTACCTATATTTTATTTTTACATTGAAAAATAACACGAATTGTTTTCAACTTACCTTGTGCTGACATTGTCATATTTTTGGATTTTTTGCTAAAACTGTCTGTGATTGGAGTGTCCCAAAAAGTGACTTTTCTTTTTAAATTGGTACGAGAACTTCCTTCTAAATTGTTTTCTTTGATTTCTGAATGATCTACAGGCGTTATGATGACTTCCTGAATTTTTTCTAGCAGATTATTATCAGACTCTATTTGCATAGGAGTACTCGTGGCAACAAGATTGGACAGCACTTTTAAATGTTTTGCGTTTTTGTTATATTTTTTGTCGAAAAAATATGGCGTAGTACTGTCTATATTTGACCGATAAGAGTGATGAGGTGTAATTGGACTATTTTCCGTACTTAATTTATTAGCTAAAGGACATTTATTATGTTGAAATAGTTCATCTTCAGAACCAAAAATTCTTTTACAGAATACACAATGCAAAGGCCAATGGCAACTCACTATATGTCTGATAACATTTTCTTCAATTAAAGATATAATTGTCTTTCCACTAATACATATCTCGCAACCAGTAAAAATATTGTGTTGTTTATATTCATGCTTTTCTCGACAAACTTTACAACAAAATACATTTTTACACACACGGCAAATATTCTGAAATTAAGTGTACCTTATTCAGTTTGAGCACTAAAAAATATAGATTTTACTTACTTCTTTAAAATCTTTCATTTCTTTAAATCTACACTTAATTGTTGATCTATTTCTTGACCTTTTACATATATTTTTAAATCGTTTCAAGAAATTTTAACATAATCTGATCAATAAATTCAAATCTTTCAAAAAATTTGCCGCTACTATTTTGCAACGTTGCTAAGATAAATTAATTTTACGGATACTTAAAAAAAAATGAACGGCTTTCAAGACTTGATATCGAACCTAAAATTAAAATAACTTTATACATGTATTATTAGTTTAAACAGGAAAGTAATGTTAATTCGTTAATGTCAAAATACAGATAAAAAATAGCAGTGTAGCTATATTTTCGTAGATATTGAGAAAGTATTTTAATAAAATCTATATACCTACAAAGAAATGTGTGCCGATCTTGTGTCAGTGGATAGGTATAAGGTAGCTTACGCAAAATAAATTCACTGTTACAAATTTTTATACTTTCCGCAAATAAAATAGTATATTATGTAACAAGAGTTGTAAGTAACCCATTACACACGAAGTGAAAAAGTTTCGCTAGTGCGTAAGGGGCTTACAACTCGTGTAATGTACTATACTTTTTCTACGCCCACTTAAAACATTCTCAAAAAAGGATTTGACGTTATGCTTGTGTCGTAAATCCATAAATTTTCGATAGGTAATTTCGTATCTTTCTTTGAGCTTTTTCTAAAATCTCCTGTGGAATGCTCATAATTTCATCATTTTCACTGCTAACAAACATATTCGTAGGTAAAGTTGAGAAAATTTTCGAATACAATCATATTTTGTTACAAAAATTGACAATATATATATGGCATGACGTTTATTTCCATAGCATGCTAAGAAAACGCGACATATTTTTTGAAAAATTGTATAATATGTTGCTGACATTTAGGGGTATCACTCTTTTGATCCAAAATGTATCTCGCTAATGCTAAAAGTTTTTTATGTTTTTTAAATGACTAAATTTATGTAAATAGACCAAATAAAGTCGCACGTAGACAAAAGCCTGATTTGGGCAGTCTGCCGGAATTCCTCTTGGAGGGAGCAGAGGGACGCCTGAAAGGATGAAAAAAACTACAACTGAAGTTTTTACTGTGGTAGGTTTATTGTTTCATTTATGTTTTTTACAGTAAGTAGTAATAATTTTTATTTGACGTGTGTAAGTAAATAATAAAACCTCTTTATGTTGAACAGAATAATTTCATAAATAGCTATTTTATAATTTCCCTGGTGCTGCTACTTAAAATGTAAATATGACAACAGCGACGCGCAAATCGACGCGACATCGACATGTTAGGTTAGGTTTGTGAACTTGTAAACAAACAGCCAGTCAAGTTTTTTCACTTTTTTTTTGAAAACGTAGAAATAAAATAATACGATTACAAAAACTTGATAAGGTGACCTCGGAAATATGAGCGGAGCAGTATATGGAGGTGGTAAGATTTAAGAATTAAAATTTTGATGTTTATATTTTGTGTTCATTCGGCATAACCTTACATTTTAGATGAAGTGGGTGCTCTAGTTTTTGATCTTGGTCATAATACTGTTAGAGCTGGTTATGCAGGTGAAGACAGTCCTAAAGTTGATATACCCTCAACAATTGGCGTCTGGTTAGATGCTGAAGACGATGTTCCAACCACAAGATACAATATAGGTCTTTTGGCCATACATGTTTGGAGACCAGGTAAATTTAACTATTATGACTTAAATTAACGCAGTACAAATTGTTATTATAACTGTTTATGTTTGATAATGTATCATAGAGATATTGGATAAAAATAGTAAAATTTATTTTATATAATGTTGGTTAATCAGAAACAAAAGTAAATACACTTTCGCATTATTTCTAGTTCTGTTTAATACTCTTGGCATAGGAAATAAATGTTTTGATGTGTAATAAAAAAATTTTTCTACATGACTACCTTCTATAAATATTAATAACCAAAATGTGTATTGAATTTATACAGAAATGGAGCTAGTTTCATTCCTAAAAGAAGGTATGGTCGAAAATTGGGACATGTTTGAAAACTTCTTAGATCATATCTACAATAATGCGCTTAGAGCGATTCCAAAAGACCATCCAATTCTCCTAACTGAACCTCCTTGGATAACACCTTCAAAACGTGAAGAAATGGCGGAATTAATGTTTGAAAAATATGGTGTTCCAGCTGTTTATCTTGCCAAAAATGCGAGTTTAGCTGCTTTTGCAAATGGACGTCCCACATGTCTTGTAGTTGATAGTGGAGCAACTCACACTTCTGCTGTACCCGTTCATGATGGGTAAGCACTAGAAATTGTGATTTTTTTGTGAATTATATTTTAATATATATTTTTAGATATGTATTGACTCAAGCAGTTGTAAAATCTCCTGTAGGAGGCGATTATTTAAGTTCCCAGTGTCTTAGTCATTTGATTGAACGGGGGATAGAAATTGTACCTCCTAGTATGGTTGCTTGGAAGGAAGTTACAAAACCTGAGGATACTCCTGTTTGGAAAAAAAGAATTGTGCCACCAAATCTTACAGAATCCTGGAATAATTTCATGATTAAGGTACATAGTATGTTTATTCACTTTTTTAAATATTAACATATTTTTAAATTTTATTGTTTTATTTCATTACAATATTTGAATGTTGTTACAGGAAGTGATGCAAGACTTTCAAGCTTCAGTCCTACAAGTATCTGATGTATCTTACGATGAAGAAATAGTGAAAACTATGCCTGCGATTCACTATGAATTTCCTAATGGTTACCATCGAGATTTTGGAGTAGAAAGATTTAAAATTCCAGAACCACTGTTTAATCCCACAACTGGTGCTAAAGCTGGAATACAACCTATTTTGGGTGTCGGATCTTTGGTTACTACCAGTGTTGGCATGTGTGATATCGATATTAGACCAGTAAGTAACAAATATCTTAGAATTTATTTTTAAGCTATTTCATAGCTTTTATCGCGGGCTTTGAGCGCGGCGACCGAATCAAGAAAAAAAAACGAAACGGTAACGAAAAAAACCTAACACCCCCCACTCCGACCGGCACAGCGGTGCGGCGTTAAACAATATTATCGTCTCATTTATTCAATAAAAGAAAATCTAAAAATCGAATATTCGAAAATTCCGTAACGAAAATAAACCTAACACCCCCCATTCCGACCGGCACAGCGGTGCTGCGTTGAAAGCCGTGCATCGTCTAACGTCGTTTCAGTTCGGCAGACTTCGGCACGGTGTTTGTGTGCGTGCGACTAGACGTATGCGTGTAGACTAGCTGCTAACTGCTCATAACTGATTATATCTCTTTTAGACACAATTTCGGAAAAATTGAATTTGAAAATGAATAATGATTCACAAGAATCCACAACAAAATAATGGACCACCATTGACGCGGTATTTTCCAGATATGTAGATGATATCAAGTCTGAAACTTATGTTTCTTACTTCAGTTACCATATAAACCTATAGTTTCAATGATAAAAATTTCTGAATAACCTACACATGTATTGTAAGATAATAAAAATATTTTAAACAATATTAACTTCTCATTTATTCAATAAAAGAAAAAAAAATGTTTTCTTATCGGTCACCACGCTCAAAAAGTGTAACTTGAATTCATATCAAAGAAAAAACTTAATTAATATCTAAAGAAAAATGTATAAATAAAATAAATAAATAATTATAATTGCATAAGTTGATAAAAAATACTATGCAATAGCTTTACCGCGGCAGTCCCCGAGTGCCACACTTTTTTTTTTGGCATCAACTTCTTGGTCAATTTATTAATTGTGAAATTATTATAAACGTACAGCCATTGATGGTTAATACTTCATTTGGCTATCTGTCACAGTGGCAAAAAGTTGCGATTTTATGTCATCATTAAAGCCTCCTATAATAAATATATTTCTTGTAAAAAATAACAGTGACAGCATTGCTTAAACATTCCTTTATTATTTACATTATTTACCGATTTTATTATCAAGGATTATAAAAAAATCTATAATTTTAGGCTATGTATGGAAGTGTTGTAGTGACAGGCGGAAACTCGAGTCTCCAGGGTTTCACTGATCGACTCAACCGAGATTTAGCTACAAAAACCCCACCAGTAAGTGTCCAATATAAACTATTTAGTCTATATTTGCTAAAAATATATATACAGGGTAGCTGTTAAAGATGGAACCAAACCTATAGTGCTTAAACGGTTCAACATACAAAATCCAAAATTTTAGAATTTCAACTAAATATATTTGCGCATATTTTAGCCCAAAAATTATTTTTCTTATAATTACAAAATTTTAAGCATCTTGATTTTTTTAAATTGCAACATAGGTCATGTGATATACCATTTAAAAGGGTTTAACACCCTGATTACAAAAATGTATCACACAAGGGGTTTAAACACAACAGAAAGGATATTATTTTAAAAAATCAAGATGGCGGCCATGCTTAAAATTTTGTAATTATAAAAAAAATAATTTTTGTGCTAAAATATGCGCAAATGTATTTAGTTGAAATTCTGAAATTTTAGGTTTTGTATGTTAAACCGTTTAAGCACTATAGGTTTGGTTATCTTTAACAGCTACTTTGTATAAAAAAAAAACAATGATAGTCTCTGAACTTCCATATTTTTCTTTTAGAAGATACCGATCCAATTTTTAAATTACATTCAATAAAAAAGAAATTTGTTTTGCTTTCATATTCAAGAAGAAAATGGAAGTTGGCTTTATAAAATATTGTCTGCAATAAATAATTTATTATGTAGAGCATGCGGTTGAAAATAATTAGCGCCCCAGGAGTTTCTGAACGACGATTTGGAGCATGGACTGGTGGCTCCATATTAAGTTCTCTTGGGTCATTCCAGCAACTTTGGGTGTCCAAGCAAGAGTATGAAGAGACTGGTAAAGTAATTGTACAATCTAAATGTCTATAAATGTATTACGGTTTGTTATTCAAACTCCAACTAATAATGTAAATCTCAAAAGTTCTCGAATTTTATCTATTTTAAACGGGAATTTATTTTATACACTACCGTGCTTCCTAAAATATATTGATTGTAATAATAATTGTAGCAACTTGCATAAAAGACACATTTTTTGTTTTAAAAGGTTTTAAAAATATTGAAATCCAAACAATAAAAAAAAAATTTATTAATGTTTTAAGATTTAAAAAATTGTTCGTATAAGTACAGTGACCATTGGAATATGGTATGTAATGTACAATTTTTGTTAATATTAATGAAATACAACTTAGAGTACCTAAAACTTTTATGGGTATAATCGAAATGCAAATTAAGGTGCCGTTTATTCTGGGTAACAGTTATGTTAGTTGAAAATAAATGTTAGTTTTTAGACTAATAAATATTGTAGCTTGATTTAATTGTAAACAGAATTTCCTTTACAAGTGGATGGCGTTTTATAACTACCACATTCCAACGCTCTATGTACTTGTTAAAAAAATACTCAAGTGTTTCTAAAAATTATAAATTAAGGACTAGTCGGTCACTTTTATGTTGTTTTTTTTTTTTTGTTCGGAATTTAATATTTTTATTACGTAGAAATAGGTTTTAATGAAAATAACGACAATGGGGTAGCCATGTGTGGGTTGAAGTTAATATAGAAGTGAAGAATAAAGTCATTTATATATCTCTAAAGATAAGTAAGTATTGATATATTAACTAAGTTGTAAATAAAAAAATTAAATTGCCCACTAACTCAATTCCAGTCCGTAGGATCCTTCACAGTATCAACAATTACAATACTTTGGACTAATAACAATAGAAAATCTTACATTCAACCTCTTCTTCTTGTTTTTTTGTTAGAATTTCTTTGCAATCTTTCCATCGTTTTTCAAGTATACATTCACTGTTTTTTTCTTTTTCAAGTCGTTTGAATTATTTTTCCGTCAGTTCTTGATGTTTTGCGTTCTTCTTTGTTTTTCACTTCTGCTGTAGTTAATTGCCTCTGTTTTTTATTATTTTTGTATGACATTCTGCTATTACTAATCTGGTGTGTCCCTATTTCAACCTACTTAATTTATTGTATTTGTTAAATTTTGTGAATAATTATAATCTCTTTGCGTGACGTTCTTCCGCCACAAACGTATATTTATCTTTTAATTTCCTATTATTAAGTAATTTCTTTTACAAAAGTCCATCATCTTGAGTACAGTCTTTTCTGTATAAACTCCTATACAGCCCATTTCTTTACCTACTATTGCGTTCTAATCCCCCATCATTATTTTATTGACGTTTTCCTCTTTCTTTATAATAGTCAGTATTAAAGAAATTGCCTATTATAGACTCTTTTCATATCTCGAAAACTCTGCAGTTTAGTACAGTTACGAGGGGAAATATACCCGACTCTTAGTGTTGCTAATTCTACTTTAAAAAGGTGTGGTTGTAACCTGTAAATAGTCGGGGTATCTGAGTATTTCGTTATGACACGCTGTCTATGAGCCATTTCTTTAATGTTGATTATTATTATTAGCCAAATTGAGTCTTAAAATAAATAGAGAAATGCAAATATTAATCAAAAACAAACCCAGTTTCTATGATACCATTGAAAACTTTCTTAGAAACCAGATATCAATCTGATATACCACAGAAATCAATTGCATAAATTTGATCTTACATGAATTTCATGATTACTTTCATGGTATTTATTATATATTAGACATACTGCAGAACTTTGCTGCGAGGCAAGTCCTGGAGACTGCACAATGGGCCGAGGTTTAAGCACTCTAAAGCAACTCACCCTTCCTCCCCACAGGTAAAGTTCAGTGCAAAATATATTTAAATGAAGTTTTGTACTGAACTACAACTTTTTATTCAAATTAATTTTTATTGTAAACGCAAACTGGTGGTAGGTAATTTTTAAAATATACATAGCTTGAACTTTTTCTTTCTTCACCTCTATATTGAAAATAATTTATATTTACCAGTATTATTATAAATATGACTGTTTTTGTTTATATTTTTTAAGATTTGTTATTATTTTAATTTCTTTGTTTAATTATCCAGAAGTAAATGACTCGTAATTATAAAATTTTCTAGTCAGGATATTTATTATTTCGTTTTTTAATTTTGAAAAAATTGACTTTACAGATTGACAGTTGATAATATTATTTTCCAAATTTCTCTCTAGTCATTAAAATTTAAGAAATTATTTGTCAATCTGGTTACAAAGTACTGATTCCCAAAGCCGATTTTTTTTTAATTTCTCGATTAAATACTTTTAAGAGATATTATTATACCAGAAGACAACTACAACTAATATTTCTCTTTTACAACTATTAGACGGTCAAAAAAAAAAAAAAAAATATATCAATTTTTTTAAGCTGTCAACATTTTATTTTCCCATGATAGTAGGTTTGTTCCAATATTCGGAAATTATCTGCGAATGAATAGTACGAAAAATAACTGTTAAATCGTACTGCTCATGCGCAGATAAATTCAGACCGGTTCTGTACTGCTGTTGGAACAAACCTAATATTATGCATTCTAACGACCTGTCAAAATGCTGCCCATCGGTAATGACAGGTTATGATATGGCAACCCTGTGGGCCTGTTATCTTTTACAGGGTCGACGATACAAATATATAGATTGCCTCACAAATGCTCATTAATTGGTTTAGTAAAAATGGGTTTTAAAACCAATTTTCGGCCTTTGAATCTTGTAAAAAATTAATTACCTACATTTTTACTTCAAGGCATAAGCTTATGTTAATTTTGAAAAACATGGATCGATCTATATCATTGACCGTGTCAAATGGTCAGGCCCACAGGGTTGTCATATCAGAACCTGTCATTATCCACGATCAACCATTTTGTATTGGAATGCAAAATTGCTAAAGAATTTCTATTTTTTCAAAATGGATTTTCTAACGCTTACTGTATGGCGACACATCTACAGAACAAAAATAAGGTCCAGCAATATTTGGTGCTATGTAAAAAGTTCTGTTCGTTTATAAATATTTGTAGTTGCAATGTAAGACACGTTCATTTAAATAAAAAAGAAAGAATAAACAAGGTTCCACTAGAATTGTTAATTTATTTTCATTATTTTAAAACAAAAAATAATTCTAAAATAGGCCATGATATCCGTGATAACCGCGCTCTGTTTTGAATTAAATCCAAATTCATTTAAAAAATAATTTTACAATCAGACGTGCGTGATTTTTTCCAAGCATTTTTTTTTTTTTAGATACGGTATCGTCAACGAATACCTTCTAATATCCCTTTGCACAAGTGCTTGTGAAAACTGCATAGAGCCAGGCACCAGAGCAAGCAGGAAAGAAACAAAACCAGCGATGCCTGTCTATACGTCCTGGCGAATGTTACAACGCGATCGGGTAGTATAAATGGCAACGCGGATTTTGTTTCTTTCCTGCTTGCTCTCTGTAGTTTTCACACGAACTTGTGTCAAGGGATATTATAAGGTATTCGTTGGCCGATACCGTATATTGATGATTTAGCGCACATATGTGTCAAGTAACATTTTGCAATATTTCACTATTCTTCAAGTTTAAAGGTTTAAAACTATAGATCTGTGTTATTTCACATGAAATGTATCTAGCAAACCCTTTCAACACTTCTTCGTTGTTTCTGATTGCATAATAAAGCAAAATAAATAGAAGTAGGTAAATGCATTTAAAACATTTTGTCCCACTTAATACCTGTATGCACTAAGCCATCGATATGTTCAATGGTGTTAAAATGATGTTCCTATGTGAGTGTTCATTTTTATTGTATTTTAGTTATTCTAATTTTCATTATAAAAAAAAATTTATGCTGTAGGTTATTCATAAATACTATATAATAAATATTTATGTAACCAATTAGGAAATGCACAAAATTGTGATTTTCCTAACATGTTACATGCAAAATTTTCTAATTTTGACAGAAACCACTTTTAGTCATGCAAAGAAGTTCGTTAATTAATTCAAAACTCTAGTGAAAAAGATGTGGCAATTTGCCATCTGTCAGAATGTCAAAATTAAAAAATGTGATTATTCTGTTGTGCCAATACAGTATTAAAATTATATAAATTGTATGTGTATTTTGTTTCATTTTGCTTTAACATTGAATACCCATAAAAATATTTCTGAGACAGTTTTATATATATCTCTGTCTTAAGATTTACAAGCAAAAATTATGTCTATAAATTATGGAGAATCCTGACCTGAGATTTATAAAAACAAACCCAAAATGCATTGATACTGTCACGCTAAACAAATATTACCCTATACATAATATATACATTTGCTAAATTAAATAATTCAGCATAATATTTTATATATTTTGATAAACAGTAGATTCTATTCATAACTTTATCTTTGATAAATGTATGTTATGTTGAAAATGGGGTGTTAATACTCTGCGACCTAAAAGATCTATTGTGCCCCCTTCTATCGCCAATGCACTAAAAAAATATGACCATGTCGGCATAACCTTGACAGGGTATGCCGAGATCAGTCAATCTGCATAGAAGTTCGTCTACGATTATAAGCTCCACATTAGTGGGGGTAGAACTCCTCCTTGTGGACATCCCCTGGTTGTGCAGATGGAGATGGTGTCCTGCCCTATCTGTGTCTCTGCAGTTCTCGTATATAACAGCTGGAGCCATCCATCTGGATGTGATGTTATCTACTCCTCTGTATGCAAGTGCTCTTTTTACAGATTCGTGTGGCGTGTTGTCAAAAGCTCCTTCTATGTCTAGGAAGGCACACACGACTGTTTCTTTGTTTATCAGTGCATCCTGGATTACGTCAGTCAACTGTACCAGGGCAGTTTCAGTAGATCTTCCTGCTCGGTTCACGTTTTGGCTGTGGTGGAGTGGCACCCTCTCCAGGACTTCCGTTTTGATATAAATGTAAATATCAAAGACTAGACACGTACTGACCTTAATCGATTAATATAAAAAGCGGCTAGATCAACAATAATGACACTCTTAGTCGGAGTCTCATCCGAGACTCTTGGCCAGAGTCTCAACCTAGACTCTTAATTTGAGTCTCATCGTCGTCTCGCATCCCATTAGAAGAAGTGACGTGACGAGCCCTCGTCGCCTTTAGATGTTTAGCCCATGGTAAGGCCCTTTTTATATTGTAATATTTTGGATATATTATTTTTGAAGTTTTGAACTTGAATATTTCCTAAACTGTTCAAGATAGAGACGAAAGGGAAACAGCATCCTAATGTATCTGTCCTGCTCTACATCTGTGCTTATTTACAAAGTAATTGAATAATTAGTTACTGAGAAAAACGAAGAAAATATTAAACGGTTATAGAAACGAAGCAACCGAGTCCACCCTGTAATTTGTCATGCTTTCTTTTATATGTACCCAAATTTGCATTAAAATCTGAGGAAAAAAAAAAATTTTACCAAAAATTTTTGAAGGCTATAACCCTTTCGATTTTTCGTGAAAAATTCATGGTGTCCGATTGAGTTGAAAATCGGACAGTATGAGCTCTAAAACGTTAAGAAAAATAGTCCTTTTCTCAATAACTTAAATAGTCAAAAAGTAGAGGCTAGTTGTGTGATAATTAGCAAACTTAGAGAACTGCAACTGACTCTCTTCAAACTTACTGCATACAACGTTTCGTCCAAATTGGAGCATCTTTTTCCAACTTCTGAACGAGGAGAGATATTGAGTAACAGACACCACTCCGACATTACGTTTTACATCCTGATTTTCTGTATCAAATTTCAGTGAAATCGGAGACAAAAAAAAAATTATGGATAAAAAATGGCCGTACTCTAGTTAGTTGTACTGATGGCGCCATCTACTGAAAAATTGTGAAAACAAGGAAGATATCAAAATAGTATTCTACTATTAACTGCCCCTTGTTTGTTAATTCGTCCATAGATGGCGAGACCAGTTTAAAAAGGTATTGGTTTCGCCATGTTCTGTCAACATTTTAGCTAAAAAATAAATTTTTTTCGACTATGAAATCTGATATCAACGAAAAGTGGACTTTTGAAAATTCGAAAAAAAAAAAATTGTTTTTATTTAATAAATTGTTAATTGTTGTTCTGCTCTTTTATAAATTAAATAAAATAGCTCGTAACAATACATAAAAATAGTTTGATTCAAAGCCCTTTACTACCCTTAATAACTTCTGTAGCTGAATGATTGACTCCGATGTAGCTAATTATAATAAATACATGAAAAGTATATTTTACCTTTTTCATAAAACTATAGTTAATGAACATGAAATGCTAGAAATGAAGACTTTCAAAAATATTTACCTGATTAAACAACTTGATTTTCCCGCCATTTATAAAATACCTCTCTTCTCCCGATACCAAAATTCTATCAACGAAATTGCAACTTTTGTTACTTGGATTTTTGTATCTTTTGACGCGCTCTCTTTTTGATGTTCTCTCTTTTTGACCTTTCTCTTTTTGACACCCTCTCCTTTTGACATTTTTGACGCCCTCTCTCTTTTGACACTCTCTCTTTTTGTGTCCTTTTTAGCGCTATTTTTATTTGACGCCCTCTATATTTGACCCTTTCTCTTTTGACGCCCTCTCTTTTTGGTGCTTTTGACGCTTTTTTATGCCCTCTTTGGTGTCCTCTCTTTTTGACGCGCTCTTTTGTTGACGCTTTCTCTTTTTGATGCCCTTTTTTGACGCCCTCTCTTTTTGACACCTTCTTTTGACCTTTCTCTTTTTGACACTCTTTGACGCTCTTTTTTGTGCCATTTTTGACGCTCTCTTTATTTGATGCCCTCTATTTTTGACCCCCTTTTCTCTTTTGACAATCTTCTTTGTGACGCTCTTCTTTACGCTTTTTTATGCCCTCTTTGCCGCCCTCTCTTTTTGACACTCTTTTGACGTTCGCTCATCTCTTTTTGACTCTCTGTTTGATGCTCTCTCTTTTTGACGCGCTTTCTTTTTGACGGCCTCTTTTTTGTGTCCTATTGACGCTCTTTTTATTTGACGCTCTCTATTTTTCACGCCCTCTCTTTTTGGCGCTATTTTGATGCTCTCTATTTTTGACCCTCTTCTTTTTGGTGCCTTTGACGCTCTCTCTTTTTAACGCTTTTTTATGCCTTCTTTGGCGCCCTCTCTTTTTGACGCTATTTTTTTGTACGCCCTCTCTCTTTTGACACCCTCTTTTTGACGTTCGCTCATCTCATTTTGACTCTTTGACGCTCTCTCTGTCTGATTCTTTTTGACTCCCTCTGTCCGATTCTCTCTCTTTTTGACGCCCTCTTTTTTGTGTCCTTTTTGACGCTCTCTTTATTTGACGCCCTTTTTTTTTGGCGCAATTTTGACGTTCTCTATTTTTGACCCCTTCTCTTTTGACGCTCTCTCTTTTTGACGTTCGCTCATCTCTTTTTGACACTCTTGACGCCCTCTCTTTTTGACGCCCTCGATTTTTTATGAAGAATAACTTTTTCCTAATATTAATAATAAAAAGCTTTCCGTATGCCACCAACTGCCTACGGAAGTTGGCGGCGATTGAAAAACTTTATTATTCATATTGGGTAACATTTATTTTTTCAAAATAAAAAGTCGAGCATGGTCTAAAACCAAAAATACAACCATTCAAATGTTATTAGTCAAAATTCATGTTTTTCCACAAACCTCGTATACGGCTTAAAAAATGATATCTCATGGTTGCATTTTAAGTTTTGGATCACGCAGAACTTTTTATCAAGAATACATTTTTTCACAAAACCAATAAAAAAGTTTTAAATATGATTCCAACTTAAGTGAATACACTGTATATAAATGTATCTCTTGCCAACCAATTTTTACTAAGCCAGGAAGTAACACATCCCTTTAAATAAAATTATTTATATATGTAGGGCACAAGAATTCAGAATGATTGATTGTCATCGAGACAAGACACAAATCAGTTAAGTATGAATTAAAAAAAACACTGGTTATTTGTTATTTTATTACAAACAAAGAAACTAACAATATTAATCAAACATTTCAATAAAAACTTGGAAATTACCGCGTTAAACTAGAAAACCGTCTAGAAAAATATGTAAAATTTATTTTCTAGTTTCATACAATAGTCAACATTTTTTATCCTCAACTTTCCAAAAACTTTAAGGCAAGACTTTTTTCCTGGCTGTGGCTTCGCGGTAAACAAATTAAGTCAAAAAACGTAGGAAAACACTAAAATTTATTAGCTAGATAAAATAATACCGGGATTTTCGTATTTAAAGATATCGTATATAATATTGCGCCCAAATGAAATCATTAAAAATAATTTTACGATATTTTAATGAAAGAAAAATAATAAAGTATTGGTTTGAGTCAATGAAGTATGCATAAAAATAAAGACACATTTCAAGAAGTTTCACCTATAAAGATTAGATATTTAAAAAAAAAAGTTTCTAGCAATAATTTATTTTTTTAAATTTTCGATTGAAATATATGACTGTATGGATGATCTAAAAATGCTTTTGGGTACCTATGGATGAATGCCAAGTGGAAATTATTTTCCTTTAATGAAATGTTCACAAACTCGAACAATACAAACAATGTTTAAGTAAAAACCCAGAATCGGGCGATCCCAGGTAAAAATAAATAATTTCGGAACGGAAACATGTAAACAATTGGCCATTTAAACATCTTTTTCTAAACTTTCAGTCTTCTCTTCCTTCTTGGGGATATAGTCGGTATCAGAATCCATTGGAGATACTGAAATGTAGTCGGCTGGCACTCGTGGACTCTCATCTTTAGAATCATGAAAAATAAAAAAAATTAATTAAATACCGGATGTCCCAAATGTGTGGAATAATTAGTGTATCTTTTGAAAAATTTTAAATATTAAAAAACCTTTTTTAAGAAACCGACCGAGGGGAAGCTAGGTGGTATAGGTATATTATCGAACAAATGTGGATTCAAATAAAAATTTCTAATATATGTTGTGGATGTGAAAGAAGCTGGTATGTTACCTAAACTCAGATTAAATATCGTTGATTGTGAAAAACATCTATATGGCGTTCAGACCGATATTTAGCTTTTACTTGCTTTTGGTCGATTTTCAAGCACATTACTTGTAAGTCATTATTTCTAAAATTTTCAGAAGTTCTTTATTTATTTTTTACTTAAAAAAAATATTTATAATCAATATATCTTACCTAAACCACTCAAATCAGAGGTTGAATTGGGTGTAATTTCAGACACACTGGATTCATAGTCCACTGTGTATGTACCTGTAGAGCCAGGTCCAATGGGACATACCACTTCAGACTGTTTTTTCAAATCCGGTTCACTTCGAGAACCAAGTTGTCCTAGTATAACCTTAAAATAAGACATTAAAAATTTACTTTTAAAAAACTAAGTATGTAACAGCCAAATGGATTAAATTCAGTGACTCAATTACTGTGCATATTTAGAAAAAATTCCGAAACATAGTTTTAGATTATTAAATAACATACTGCAACGTGAAAATTTCACCCTTACCGTCAACACCCTTCGAGTGACAGTTGCAATTCCCAAATTTGTAAATAGAAAATAGTATGTAATAGTAAGTAATGTTATAATTGACGTGTTTCGTGATTTTTTTATAAATATGCACAGTAATTGAGCTACTGAATTTATTCCATTTGGTTGTTACACACAATATAATTAAATTTAAAGGGTTTCAAAAAATGTAGTTATGTGGAGATTATTTATCTTAAAATATTTCAAATAAAAGAGTAGGCCCACAGAACTAAAATGATGAGAATGTTTTTGATGTCAATTCTCGGGCAAAATTCACGTTTTTTTGAATTGAAGTTTCTGAGTTTGCCCATTGAACATCTATCAGCTATGTCAATTATTGTCATTCGTGAAAGTGAGTTGAAAATAATTATGAATTTATTTATTTAAAATCAATTTAACACTTTAGAAGATCGGAATCATCATTTAAATAGATTGAAAAGATAACATTCCAATTAGTGAAGTGTGTCTACTTAAAGAAGCAGAGTATTCTGATCACATTTATGATAGATCTACTTTAAATTAAAAAAAAAACGGCGCAAGAAAACCTACGTTACTCTAATGTAAGAATTTCTTAAACATTAAAGAAATATGAAGACACAATGGACTTTAGATTGTCGTTAGAGTATAATCAGAAGTTGGAATAAATACACGATTCTGAATTTTATTTTATAAAAAAAGAACATAAAAGAACTCAAAAAAAATCTTAAACACATCAATCTATTATGTATAAACTTTTCTAGTCCAAAGTCTAAATGAAAGTATGGAAGGTAAGAAGGTTTATTATTTTTCTTTTCCTATTAATTGTAAAACGTTATGGCTTGAATTTAAAATTATATTAAAGTCGGAGGAGGATAATCTTCGAAGATGGGTAAGATTTTTTGGAATATTTCCAAAAGTTCATAAATCTTATCCAAAAATATTGCACATCTTTCGATTATTTAAATATTTACCTTTCTTCTGGGTGGCTCTGAAGAGTTAATACTGGAATCTCCAGAGTGTTCTCCAGAAGACTGTTCAGATTGGCTAACTGAGCTTGTAACTGCAGTTACAACTCCAGGGTCACTTCTTGAAGTACCAGGCATCACAGCAACAATGTTGTTGTGACTCTCCTCATCTACAGGGGTAATAGCAGAAATGTTATGAACTTTCAATTGTTGTAAATAATAAGCACGTTCAGTTTGGAGCTTCCTGCAAAGTTTCTCTAAAGCATCCAACTTCTTTTGAACTGTTTTTAGTTCGTTGGTTGTGGCTTGACTCAACTCAGTGAGTTGAAGGCACTTTTGGGTGCTGCCCTTCCAACGCTCGTGCCATTCATTGCGGTCTTTCTCCAAAACACTATTCGCTTTTTGCATCTTGGTCATTTCTTCTTTGAAAGAATCGAAGACCTATACAAATATTTTTAATAACTACAGAGTGTATTGGAAGGTTTAATAAAAAAGTTTTAAATAATATGAACCAAAAATTCTATAGTTTTCGAGAAAAACAGCTATAAAGTTGTTACTTGTAACATATAATAAAACTGCTTTGTTTTTATTTTTTATTAACATAGTATTTTACAAATTGCGACGAAAATTAATAAAATCTTTTGGTCAACCGTAAAAAATATAATTATAAGGAAAATTAAAATAAATTATGTGAAAAATTAGTATATTAGAATAAGCAATCCTTGTGAGTTATATTTCGTTTCATAAAGCAACAGCAAGGTAAATGATGTATATTTTATTCTCCTGGTTGGGAGAGCACTGCTGTAGACTTTCCTAGCCTCTTCAGCAGCACTGGAAGGATTGGGATATTTACTTTGAGGGAATGGAAAGAACAGCAGTAGGTATCAGAGAGGATGTTAATGCCCCAATATTTGTCTATTGCTATGAAAAAACCTCTGAAAACTCTTAAAATCTTTTATATATTCATGTACAATTCATAATTAAATACACTTAGAGTAAAAACATTTACCTTATTACTTCGTTTCATAGTAGTTTCAAAATCACTATACTGTTTCTGATATGAATCTAAATGCTGTTGTAAGCTCTTAACATTTTCTTGTAATACTTTGTTTGTCTCATCACTTCTCTGCAAGTTTGCTACCAATAAAGTCCGTTCTTTCTTCCAAATCTCACGCTCAGTTTCAAATTCAAATTCTATTTTTTTTAATTGAGTCTCTGAAAGTTTTTTTTGAAGCTCCATCTGTTTATTCACGTTAGCCACATGGGTTTCCCTTTCCTGAAACTGATCGTAAAGTTCAGTTAATTTTGATGTCATATTAATATTTTCTTCCCTCAAACGAATAGACTTGTCTTTGTTTTCATCCATGAGCTGTGTGAGAGTGTTTAATTTTTCAGTAAAATTTGAGGCAACTTCTCTGCGCTTTTCTTCTTCTTCTTTTAATCTATTGTAATTTTCTTCCTAGAACGAAACAGACTTTGTAAAAAAATAAAAACTTGGTGTTAACATACCTAATTGGTGTCCAATACTGTTAAAACATCACCAAACAATAACGAAAAGGGTGCACCAAGTAAAAAAATGTAATGTTCATAAAAGTTTTCACAACTAATACTGTCAAATGAAAGAATGCAGTTCTAAAGAAACTGTATTAAGCTGCTCGAGATCTCAAGCCAAGCACAGAAGTTTAGGCAAGAAAAGTAACAACTCTGTATCAAACATATTCTTGAATTCATCAAGAATATTAAGCTAGGATTTCACTATGAGTGATGTTATAGCTTCATATTTTTATATTATATTAGCCATGATTTACCCATGGGGAATGCTATAAGAAATCTTACAGCATTGGTTAGTAGGTTAGGTCAATTTCAGGACAAGGTTGTGTGTGTTATTCTGTAGAAATGTACAGATAAAGAATTTGAGATAAGCATTTATGGCTGCTAGTTACAAATGAAAAACGAATGGTTGTTGGTTAGTCAAATCATATTACTTTAAGAGAAGGAGACCAGTTTGCCCTATTGCATGATTTAAGTGACGAAAAATTTATAAATTATTTTAGGTAACTATTACTTAAAGTAACAATTACATATTTAGGCTCGTATTTATAAACTGATCTCAGATGAGTCGGACGTGGCTGAGTTGCCCTTGACAAAAATCGAAGTTCGATTATAACTTCTCTAGAGTTCCAGGCGGTTCCAGTGTTCCACTGGAATTTAGAGATGGACAGTAGCAAAAATATTAAGTACATTTACGAATTTGTAACATATAACCTACCCTCAACAAAACATGCACTGTAACCTCCAAAATTCTGTAAACATAGGGTACTCAGGGACACAAGAAGGAAGAGGGGGTATCTAAAATATCACTCAGAAAGTATATTTGAAAGATGTAAGCTATATCATTGAAATATAAATATATCTTATAGCTTGCTTGTAATGTACTTAGTTTATTATAATAGTGAGAAATATTTTCATAATATATTAGCTTAGCATCTCTCGTAGTGAAATCCCAGCTTTAACCTAATGAGGTAGAAATTAAGATTAGTACAATAAGCTTAGGTAGTTTAAGCTGTGTACAAGCGATGCTATAAAATATCTTATAGCTAACATATTACAAAAATATCGCTCGTCATTATAATAAACCAAGTACATTACACGCAAGCTATAAGATATATAGCTAACATAAAATTAAAATTTAGAATATTGAAGAAAACTATTACAAATGTGGACAGAATATTGTAATGTATTGATATATTTTGTTTTAATATGCATTAGAAATTACCTATAAGTAAATTATTTTTTTCATTCAAATCATGTTTTTTGTGCTGCTAGGTTTAAAATATAATTGTATAAATCACAATAGACAGAAGGACTTAGGTCAATAGGTGAATATTCAACGAAGGACAATTATTATTTATTATTAAATAAAAAAGCATTTTCATTGACAGAGAAGCAATATATATTTTAGAAAATGTGTTATACAAAATATGTTGTCTCCTATGTAGGGCCTAAACTATTTTTTTACAAATGGGTGG